CTCCCCAAATCCTGCAAGTTTAAATGGGATTGACTGTTATAAAACACTTTCTTAGACTGTGGGTTGTTTGCAGATTGGGCAATCTTAGAATTAAGGATATCTGAGCTTAAACACAATAACTTAGAACTCAACATGTTGTTGGTGCAGCAGCGTGTTCGTCTTTAAAAGCAGTTTTTCAGTGTGAAGAAACTGTTCAAAATTAAAGAAGCTTTTATGAATTTGGATTTCTGGGCATATAACATCTGAACAGTTATAAACGCATGCACTGAAGTTCTCTTTTAAACATGCGAAAAACATATTTCCTTTTATATTCTCATCACAAATAACAAGTTGGTGTATTTTCTGTGCAAATCTTTCATCTCTTCATTTTTTATTTCTGCTCTAAAAAGTGAGTTGAGATATAGATAAATAAAGCTTTTCTTTAAACGTAACATTTCCTGCTGCACTATAGAAAAAGGATGCATTCAAACGTGCGAAGTTTCCTCCTCCCCTCTCACCAAAAAACGACCATTGATCAGAAAAAGGGCCGACACAGCAGTACAGATTTCGCCTCAGCAATAAAGACAGCGAGATAATTGTTGTCAAGCCGATGAGCCACCAGGCTCAATATCTGAGAGGAGAACCAATCGGTCGTTGAATTAATACAACTATAAGAAAGACTGCTGAGGGCTTTTGCTTTGTGATTGATAAAATCATAATTTCGGGCTCCAGACTTCTTAGAAAAATTGAGTTTGCTGTTCGAGCCAAAAAGAATTGAACAGACTCTGTGGCTCGAGTGAAGTCATTTGCATGCTCAAAGCCTGGAGCATCTCTTAGTCCGCATGTGTTTTTCAAACTTTCCTCAACAACCTCCTCCTCTGTTTCTTCTTTTTATTTCTCACTTAAGGGACCAAACTTGTTTTGTTTTTTTCTTCATCTTCTACCTGTTTTTCCTGCCAAATTGCTATAGTTTCCCGTTGCTGAGTCAGCTAGCTTTCACCCCACCCTCTTTTCTTCAGAAGAGTCTCCAAACGTCTGCATCATGACTTTGTGTCTCTCTTATCTCTTTCTGTCAGGCTTTTGTTTTTTGATCATCGCTCCTCTTTTTCCACTCTACTTCTCCTCCTTTCAACCTCATTTCCCCTCCATCTGACGCTTTTGATTACCTCCTCTACCTGAAGTATGCGTGTGTGTGTGTGTGTACCTGTATGTGTGCATATTTGATGTGTCATGTATTGTGGGCATTTCTGCATCCGTATGGGTGGGGGAGTTTGTGTGTGGTGTATATATTAGTGTGGGTGTATAAAAATAGATGTAATGTTCTCTGCTGCCAGAGGATAATAGGTTTCTTTTGTCGCCCTCAGACATGGTTATGTGTTAAATTGACAACATGAAGAACATGTGCTATCAGCAGGGTTAAGGGTCGCTGGTTAATTCATGAAATGATCAGGATGGCACGTTACAAGTGCTTGGTATGAAAATAAATGATTATATCCTCTATGTGCCACATCTGCAACAGATAAAATTAAAAAAAAACTTCTTTTCTTTGCAGTGGTGGAAAATGCATTGAGACATTTTCTTTGGAATACTATTTTGGAAAGTTCAGTTACTGTTTAAAAAACATAATTTGTATATGATGGCAAAATATTAGTTTGCAGTAAAAGAAACCACAATGTAAAATGTCATGTTTAAGAATTCATTAATGGACTATTTAGTCGTGCATTTGTGTGTCAGAATCAGTGAGGTGAACCTATTTTATAGACATCTGGGTTCATAATAATACTGTTCTTCAGAATGAATCAATTTTAGTTTATTCCTGCTTGAAGCTTGCACCTGCTCTGTCAGATATTTCAAGTGCATAGTGGCAGTGTGACATAAAGGGGAGATAGCAGATAGCAGAAACCTCTGATGTGAAAAATGAAGCCAGTGCAGAAGAAATAGCCAGCTCCAAAAGCCAAGGAATCCCCATTGTGTCCCACATTTAGGCTTAATACAGCCAGGTTAAAAAGAAAAAAAAGTTTTGGTGTCAATAGTTAATTTCTGTATTGTTAAAAAAAAAACTGTTTAAAGTGTGATAGAAAAAATCTGTTTGCGATTATATAAAGGCTAAGAGTTGCCATTAGGTGTACGACTGATTTGACAGTCAGGCACGTTGTAACTGTTTGCCACGAGGCTAAAAACCCGCTTCAACTCCACGAGAGTCCTTGAGTTAATCCTTAGATACATTTCGACACAAACACTCACACAGTATATCGTAGTCTCTGTCATTGGCCGTATATAAGACATCTATTCTAGTCTTACACTGAATGCACTTCACATGGAGTCATCTCATGTGGAATGTAAGTCCACACACAGCTGTTTACCTGCATCACCTGGCAGATAGGACATACTTATTTGTGTTCAGCGTGTAATTTTTTAGGGCGCGCTCACACTACCGTGCCCAAGCAAGCTTCACCCTCAATGTCTAGTTTCTATGACGACTGTCTTGCAAACTAAGCTTCAAGATCATGTAAAGCCATGCATGTGTTTTATTATGACGTTATGTGCAAGAGGTAACCGTGCTCCGGCCCGGTTAGTCCTGGAGCAGGTGAGTGCAGGGCAGTGGGGGAAGGGGGGGGGGGGAGTCGTGATGCAGCACAGTGCAGGACAGATGGGCCTAGCGTGAGTGTGCCCTTGGAAGTTTTTCAAAGCTTGTAGGTATTTTGAGAAAAATGCTAAACATGATCAAGACTCTAACTTTCAGGTTGAAAAATTAAATATTTTTCCTCTTGGCTGTGAGTCAGCAGACCCTGAAACCTTCACCCTAAGATTTACTCTACGCCTGGAAGTGAATAAAAAAAGAGACTGCTGCTGTAGTTGCTCTCTGGGGTCAGCTGAAACAGTGAACAATTACGAAGTGAGTCAAATTTGGAAATAAAAGTCCCATTCAGGTGTCTCTCCTTACCAATAAGTCAGACCCAATCCTACCCGCAGCCAGTTTACACAAATGTCAGCCCATACTGAATACATTGTTGAGTATTGAGAAAATGTGCAAATTGTAAAGCATTAGAAAGGTTAGATAATGGTCACAAATTCATTAACTTTCATTCACACTTTAGCAGCTCTGCATGTGTGTTTGTACCTGTGCTTTAATCATTCTTAAAGATGTCAAGTTCTGTATTCGCAATTTCAGCTTTTGCAAAAAAAACAGAGTTGTTTGTTCTCCTGCAGAAGTAGCTCAATCTTTTCACACAAACACAGCAAAGTAAACTAAAGCCTTGCATCAACCTTTGACCACACAGATGATTGGCGGTCAGCTGACAGCACCGAGGAGGCCGATGAGAACCCTTTCTGAAGACTCAAGCCTGCAGAAGACCAGTACCTACATCGTGCCCTGCTTCCTCATGGTGGAGGTGAGTCTTGGTCATATTCTGCTGCAAACAAAGGGAACAAAATCAGGCTCTGTGGTCACTTCCTGTGCTCATCATACTACATTTTGAGCCTGATCTGACCTGAATGTTGTTGGTCGTGCGTACAACGCCGTGTGTCTTGCTTTGGAAGTTTTGATCGTACTACTGAAGGCAGTTGTAGGGCAGCTAACTTAACCTTAATCAAGAGTGTAAAATCGAAAACTTTGCCAACTCTGTGGGCGACTTGCTGCGTAAATGCTGCATGGATGTACATGAAAGTGGGTAAAAATAAGAACAAGCTATAAACTCTCCAGGTGGGAATTATGAGTCACCCAGAGCAAACTGATGGACACATGAAAGCACATTCTACAATCTTCTCCCACTCCTCCCACATCTCTTCCTGCCATCATTTCACGTTTCTCACGGCAGATTAACAACAAAGAATGTCAGCTGGGAAATGTTGTGAATTAGCCCCGGTTTCAATTCACTGGCTCCCAGAAGAAGTGATTGATTGAATCCTCACAAACGTGTAATTACCCTCAGTTCATAAAATCGCTCTGTGATAACGTTCAGAGGGAGGTAATTTCCCCGCAATGGCCTTCTCATGTGACCTTTTTTTGCTCATAATCTCCTCGATTCCTTTCCTTCCGCTCCTCTACTCTTCCCATGACTTTTCTTCTCTCGCTGTAATCCCTAAATGACCTGCTGGAGTGCTCGTGGCCTCAGCTGCATTTCTTAATTAATTGGCCTAATTAAGAAAGGAAACCCAATTAGCCCGCGCCACTGCCAACACGCTCCAAGCCTGCAGGTCTGCAGAGATGCAACGAGCGCTGCAGCCTGAACTGAATTCGCTGTTTTTCATGCATTCAAATTCAGCCTTCGCTTTTGAGTTCACCCTTAAAAAAAATATATATTTCATGTTGTACAAGCCAGAAAGTTGAAAGTTAAAAACAGATAAAATTGTTGAGTCAAATGGTGCTGTAGCGCAGTGGCTAGATAAGTCAAAAGTTCTGGTTTTGTAACAGTTGGCTTTAGGCAAACAGTAGACTTTAAGAAAGTTATGGACATTTGTTTGTCCCAGCGGCTCAGGCAAACTTAAGTAAACACACTTTTAAAAATAAAAATAAATATCTCATCCAGGGTTAGCATGTTTTTTTTTTAAATGTTTTTAAAGTTTCTACTGCGAACACTGTTTAGCAAGTGGCGTCTCTCTTAAGTGCACCCGCAGTAGCACCTCATACATAGTCTGAATCTCCTGAAGGATTTTCTTCAACCTCGCTCGTCTTCTCTTCCTTTGTGCTCATTCGCTCATTCACAGCATCCTCCTGAGATTGTGCTGTATTTTTTTTTTTATTCATCTGCTACTTGTACCTCATCCAACACATGTGCCGTACCCTCTCCATCACACCTCGGTTACCGCTGCATCTCTTTAAAGCACAAATATCCCACAATCCCTGCAGATTTACGCACATCTTTATCGTCCTTTCTTACTGTCTTTCATTGTTCTTTTGAATTGGCTCGTTCTAATCATCCTCTTGAGGACCTATTATAATCATTTCCCAGCTTTCTAATTTAAAAAAAAAAAAAAAAGTGTGCCTATAATATCTCAAGGCCTATATCTGTCAGTGCTTCTCCTCCTCTTCCTCCAGTATTCTCTTTGACGGTCTCTTAAGCACTGCCCAGTCACTCCTTTCATGCAGATCCTCTACATCATCCTCTCCAGCGTTCGTTCCCTTGAGTAATTGCATCTTTTGCACCATGGATCTCTCCATTATTCCCCTTTTACTTGTAAAGCCTCATCTCCTCCTCCCACTCAAAAAGCCTTTCTGCCGTTGCAAAGACCACCATTCTTTAATTTTCCCTCTACGCTTCTCTCCAGCTTCATGTTTCCTCTTGGGTCCCCATCATTTCTTCTTTCACTTTTTAAAAAAAAATGTCTCCTCATTTCTGGTCACCTCTTCCTCGATTCTCCCCTCTTTCTCTTCAGAAGTACCCAATGCCCTCGGGCTCACCTCATATCACAGGCACAAGAAGGGTGTCATGAACACCTCCACTCCTTGGGAGAGGGTGTTCTTTTGCACTGTCTCTTTCCCATTTTGTCACCTTATTTGCCTTGGTCTTTGGATGTGCAGCTATTGTTTTTATTCTGTTCCAGCACAGCCAGAGGTGGGCTGATGCAAATCCAATTTGACTTGAATCACCACATATGCCCCCTGAATGAATCTGTGTACATTGCTTCAGTTTAATAAAGGGCATTTCTAAATTAATTTCCCCCCCCCCCCTTCCTCTGTCTGTGTTCTTACTGGAGCAGCTTGCTGTGGCATAGCTCCCCCCGGAGGGCACTCACTCCTTTGTTGTTACATTAGCATCTCATTAGCCATTTCTTCTCAATTCAAACACTCTGTCTTTTTACTGTGCCAGTGTAGCTTGTGATCTAGAGGCTGAGCCTAGCTCTCTCTGTACCTCACAGTTAAACTCTCTATGTCTCACTGTCTGGTTCCTCTTCATGTATCACCTTTTTAATCCGAAATCAGTTTCTTATTCATGATTCCAATTCATAAAGCTGTACTTGAGTTTTGGACGAGTTGGAGAAACACTGATTATTGATATTTAGGTATCAAGGTCTCACATCACATTCTCTGATAGACCCGCACTGTTGTTTTTGTTAATTTCACATTAAGTTTAAGTTTAACTTAAACCAGCTGATTTTTTGGAGGGCACCGGGATCAACTACTATTTCTTTAGTAAAGATCACTTCAAAGTAAAGATCAATCTTTTTTAACCGGGTAATTATTTTTTTGAGATCAAGACCTCTTTCAAACAATAAGTTAAGAGCAGACAACAATTACAATGTGCATATCCGTTCGCAAATAAAGCAGAGTCCTCCTGATCACAGATTACAATTTAAAAAAAATGCACTGTCCAATGGTCTTCAATTTGTCTTTAAGATAGAGCGAAAGGCTTCAAGTGAATCTGGCAGTTTCAAGTCACTTGTTATCTTTCACTTCCCTTCCTCACCTACCTCACTTCCTTTAATTCACCTCCTGTTTTTTTTTCTTTTATGAAACCTTTGTCTTAAACAAACCTTGTAAACAGTAACTGAAGTTTCCGAGCTGGATTCATGATACCTGTCCCGTTGCCCATGGTGATATTCACCCAATAAATGCACCCTTTGATATTATTTCAACAATGTCCCAGATTGGGATCAATAAAGTACATTTAACTATCTTTAAGGCTGATACATTATATGCAGTACACGTTTCAAAATGCCTTGTACCCAATATAATAATTTAGGCAGTTTTGGAAATGGATACTGGAACTCAGCTGGTTTATTTGTATGACAATGGCCTTTGTCTTCCTTCTGTGTCAGCCCTGCTGTCAGTTCATCCCCTCTCTATTCTCAAGACTTGTTTACCATCTCTAACTTTCATTAACTCATCTCTCTGTCCCTAATCTTCCATTTTCCAGTTTCTTCCATCAACCTACTTCCTCCTGCCTCTGCTAATCATCCATTCCCTTTTCATCGACATTTCACTTTGAGTTCAAGCCTTTTCAGTTCATTTCGGAAGGGCAATTTCACAAAATTTCACTTGTAGCTGCATGGTGCAGAAACAACATGACGGAGAGCAGATAAGTCGTCCTCTGTTCTCCGTGGATGTCTCACTCCTCTCTCTTGTTTTGGCTCCGCGTTGCTGCTGTCTCTGCTGTCACACTGTGAACGCCACACAAGAGACCGGTCTGGTACTGAACAGAGAATACAGCTTCAAAGAACCCTCTTTAAAAAGTCATTTTGATACCACTGATTCCTGACTGGATTCAGACACTGGCTGGATGGGAGGAGTGTTACGAGTCAGTGTGAGCCGGGCCTGCTGTGAAAATCTGTACTGAAGCTGAGATTCAAAGTACTTGGAGAGGACTACAAGTGGACTCTTTGAGTGGATTTCACTGAGCAGACAGTGAGGAGTTGTGTGGCATGAGCTGCAATAATAATAAAACGTGATCACCATTACTGTTAACTGTAATTGGACACTGTAGCGACTAAACCATTGCACCCAGCCTGTGCTATGTGTGTTTTTTGCTGTTGTTGGTCAAAGTAGCAAATCTTTCTCCTCTCCTCTCCTTCCTCCTCATGCCTCGTTTGCTGCGTCCTCCTGTGGCACAGTGAGCTCTGTAAAGTACACGGACTGCTGAGCATGGGGCCGCGTAATGTTTCAGGTCTACGGCCCATGCTGCCTCTGATGACACTCTTGTTGGTGCATGTCTGCCCTCATCTCTTATTTTCTCTTCACTTCCCTGTATATGACCTTGTTTGTGCCTGCTCAGGAACTTCTGCCACATCAGTTATATTTCTCTTGACTTACATTTTTGGTTTGTGAATAAAATGTAATGCACACTGTAGGTTTTTTGTCTCATTATAAATGTCTACTAATTAGCAACAGCAAGGAACTGTGAGTCATGGCTTCACTAATCAGGCAAACACCCAAAATCTGATATTTAATATATATGCAAAACATTCCTGAAATGAAGCAAAAGTGACATTAAAGTGTGTTTACAGGGTGGTACTACTGCATACTGTGGGGTGGGGTGGGGGAGGGGGGGGAGTCGTGCAGTGCTTATTAGTGCTCCAGCAAGACAGCAAAAATTGTAAAAAAAAAAAAAAGAAGAAGAAGTTTGCACACCACACCTGTGATCCAAAATGTCATGAGAGAGTTGAGTGGGCGACAGATCACTTTTTGAACAATACATGTTTCATCTTTCCTTGAGTCCATTTTAACATTTTGTGTTGATCTGTTGGTTTGGCGTCCAAAGTGTTTTAAACACATTTCTGGTAAATATTGTTAAATTATAATGCCAAAAGATCATTTGCATTGACTTGAATGAGCTTGGTCGTATTTAGAGCCACTCAGACAACAGGGCCGTACTGGACTCTTCATGTTGAGTTAAGACTTCTGCCAATAGGGGGGAGGGCCAAATCAAACTTATATTTTTGGTCGTTTTTATGA